TTCCCGCCGCCTATACCTCGGCGTGGTGCGGTCCATGGCCCTGTACGGGGCCCCCATCTGGGTGGGGGCCCTAGGTGGGGAAAATGTGGCCTGCCTCAACAGGCCACACAGGGTCATGGCCATACGGGCCATAAGAGGCTACCGCACCATATCCGGGGAAGCGGCGGGTCTGCTGGCGGGGTCTCCTCCGTGGGACTTGGTAGCGGAGCTCCGCGCGTCAGTGTACCACTGGCGCGCGGAGCGACGTTCCATGGGGGAGGCACTCGCTGGTCACGAGATCGAAGCGCGGAGGTCCGACTTTCGGCGGATCCTCAGGATCGAATGGCGGGCTAGATTGATGAGCCCGTCGGCCGGCCTGAGGACCGTCGAGGCTGTCCGTCCCATCCTCAAACGGTGGATGAATAGGAGATGGCCACTGACGTACCGCATGACGCAGATACTGTCCGGGCACGGATGCTTCGGGCGGTATCTGTGTCATGTGGCGAGGAAGGAGCCGACGACCGGCTGCCACGAGTGCGGAGGTGTGGAGGACACGGCGCAACACACGCTGGACGAATGTCCAGCGTTCGAGAGTGAGCGCCGTGTCCTCACACGAATAGTGGGGGACGATCTCTCGCTGCCGAATTTAGTTCGGAGGATGGTCAGTAGCGAGAGATCGTGGCTGGCGGTGAGCTCCTTCTGCGAGGAAGTTATCTCGCGGAAGGAGGCGGCGGAAAGGGAGCGGGAGTCAGCTCGTCCCGCTTCCCTCCGCCGCAGAAGAGCCAGGCCTAGAGGTGGGAGCGTATCCAACTCCGCCCCCCTCTATCCCCCACTGGGGCCGGGGTGACTGCCTTGAGGGAGGCAGTCCCCCCAATCCAAAGGCCCCGGAGGTGTGCGCGTGTACCCACACGCCTCCACAATGGAGTAGGGCGAAATAGGTCGCCCTAACCACAAAACGAGATGGGGCCTGCCCTACAACATCTACAGGGCGGGCCGTCGCCGTCGGAGCTGGGGTAGAATGCACTTGCGAATCCCCTGGCTCCGGCATAGGCGCTCGTAGGTACACCGTGTGGTTTTTAGTGAGTCAAGTCTCACACACCACCTCGCCATCCCTCCGGCGAGGTGACGGTCTTTTGAAGATTTTCCACACGTTAAAAAAAAAAAAAAAAAAAAAAAAAAAAAAAAAAAAAAAAAAAAAAAAAAAAAAAAAAAAAAAAAAAAAAAAAGGTTAGGTTAGGTTAGGTTGGGGCGTGAGTCGGGCAACCTCCAAGTATGGGCCTGCCATTGGGAGGCTTCCCCATCCTCGTGGATACGTCCGCGGGGAACGGTGGCCGAGCAATGGTTTGGTTCTGGTACGCCCCGGGCGGGATAGTAGTCGTTCCTTCGGGATACGGCTACTATGTCGGCCGATAGTCCGGCGAGTAGGAGTAGGCACCTCTTTTGTCTTTTCTGTTTTCGGCTTTGTCTTTTCTTTCTTCGTCTCTTTTCTGTAACTCTGTTTTCTTCTCTTCTTTTTCGTCTTTGCCTACTGACAAGTCAGGTCCGGTGGGTGCTTAACTGCGCAGCCGGACAGCACTTCGGTGCAACTGGCTTCAAACCGTAAACTTGCACTGGGTGTCGGTGATCACGTCTATCGGCCCAGTGTAGGAGCGGGGCTCTTGGCTTAACCGCCCGGGGCCGCGAGGAGTCAACCTCTATAAAAAACCTTTTGTTTAAGCTCGGTGCCCGGCGAGGGACAGGGCGTCCTGTGGCGCACGCTGTTGAAATTCATTTCGACTAGCGTGTTCCCCAGGGCGTCTGGGTCGGAGGAGTAACTTCGGCTGCGAGGGCACCACCTTCTGAGAACTAGCCGCACTCAGCCGTATGAGACCGCAGATAGGTATAGGAGCTCTACCTACTGGGCAACTTTCTCCACTACTCGTGGGATCAAGAATGGAAAAACAAAAACTTATGATGAGGTGTCCGAGAAGGACGTAGCGACGATGGTGTCCGCGAAGGACGGTGTGCGAAGGGAGTCCGAGAAGGACGGAGTTACTTTGAAGGAGTGCGCGGTTGTGTTGACTAGGAGTGACCGGACTGACTTTGAAGAGGCTGGCCCCAGCCGGGAACAAATCTCGGACCTGGAACACTGGGCCAGAAGGACAAGATCCAGGTCTGTTCGCGGGATCGACTGCGGTTCTTCGCGGGCGAGCTCGTGCACAGGCCTGTCTGATATGGACCTGGACGAGACATTGCCACCAGGGCGCAAAAGGCGTCTCTCGGAGGCCTACTCGGATGAGACATCGGCGGCGGAAAACCGCCCACTTAAGGAGGGGAGAAAGAAGGCCGCCGGCCCCAAGTCACGGGTGTCGGCGCAAAAAAGAAAAGAGCTGGAAGCCTTCCGCTACGAATTCTTCGACGGTGGAAAGGATGCGCGGAATGAGGAGGCTGCAGAGATCATCCGCAGGGTTCGCCTGTCGGTTCTCGACCATACGGCGGTCATAGAAGACGCCATCCGGAGGTCCGGAAACCTGAAGGGGACCTTCGTTAAGACAATGAAGGAAGGGCTGACCGGGATTAATAGAGTAATGAGCACCCTGGAGAGTGACTCTGTCCCGAGTTCAGTCACGTCCCTGATGGTCCGGAACCTCCGGCTCCAACAGGAAGTAGGCGAACTCCGCAAGGAGGTAGCCAAGCTCCGCACCGCAAAAGCGGCCGGGCCGGCGAAGAAGGCGGATGCACCCCAAAGTGAGGAGCTGGGCACTCTTAGGGCCCAAATTATGAGGGACGTCGGCAGCACTGTCCGCACAATTGTGGGGAAAATGATGACCCAATTCATGGAGGAAGTCCGGGAAAAGATTGAAAAATCCCCCCTTCCCAGTGCAGTACAAACCGCACCAGCGGCACCAATCTTGGAGCAGCCCCAAGACGCGGTGGCCTCCCAGCCTGCCCCAGAAGTAGGAGGTCGGGGTTCTGACCCCCCAGGCCAAAAAGGCGGGTCCAAGGCCAAGACCAAGAGGGCGAGCAAAACTGCGCCCCAGGGACAACCCCCAGCAGTGGAATCCCCGGCTATTCCAGCCACACAACCCACCGCCGGCAGCTCGTCATGGGCTAAGGTGGTGAGGGGAAGTCGGGGGAAGATGACCACGGTCCCCCAAAACCAGGAGACGGCCACCGCCACTCAGGCGGCAAAGAAGGCTAAGGAGACGCCCAAAAAGAAGATGAGTCCGCCGCTCCCTGCAAAGTTACGGCTGCCCCGCTCTGCGGCGGTGGTCATAACCATCGGGGAAGCGGCTGAAAAAGAGGGCGTCACTTACGCCAACATCCTACGCGAGGCCAAGGACAAAATAGATCTCCGCCCCCTCGGAATAGACGGCTTGCGGCTTCGACCCGCGATTACCGGGGGCGGATATGAAGTCTCCGGCACTTCCAACGCCGAGAAGGCCGATGCGCTTGCGTCCAAACTCCGGGCCCTAATCCCGGAAGATGTGGCCACGGTCTCCAGGCCTTCAAAGACCGCGGAAATGCGGGTCATGGGCCTGGACGACTCTTTGACGCCGGAGGACATCGCCGCCGCCGTTGCGCATGATGGAGAGTGCAATGCCGAGGAGGTAAGGGTCGGCGAAATAAGGAGGAGCAGCCCTAAAGCCTTGGGGTCTTGCTGGGTCCGCGGCCCGGTGGGGGCCGTGAAAAAGGTCACCACTGAGGGGCATATCCGGCTTGGCTGGGTGTCCGCAAAGGTGGAGCTGCTGCGGCAAAGACCGCTGCGGTGCTTCCGGTGCCTACAGAGTGGGCACCCTAGAAGTCAGTGCACGCAGGAAGAAGACCGCAGCGGTCTATGCTACCGATGCGGGGAAGCCGGACATAAAGTCGCCGGGTGTGCCGCGACCCCAAGATGCGCACTCTGCGCGTCGACGGGCCGTCCGGCGGACCACTGGGTGGGGAGCAAGAAGTGCACCCCGCCCAAAAGCAAAGGAGGGAAACGGCCCGCCTCACAGGTCCCAGGCCGTAGGAGTGGTGCAGAGGAGGGGATGGACATCAACTCCCCTCCTAGCGATCAAGCAGGCAGGGGCGGCCCAAGCCGCCCCTAGATCGCTACCGGGCCGGGGTGACGACCGCGGGGGCGGTCCCACTCCACCGAACTAGGCCCGAAGAAGTCGCGCGCATGTCCCCGCGCGCCTTCCCCAGGGAAGAAGGGGGAAGTGGTGGGTTCCGGTAGGGAACCCGCAGAGATGGGGCCCGCTACTAGGTGGGCCACCGCCGTCGGAGTTGCGGTCGACTATAATCTGATCCCGCGACTCCGGCACATGGCGTTGGATGAGGGACATCTTGGAGTTTTTAGTGAGTAGGAGTCTCACAGTACCCGCGGGCTTCCCCCGGGGCCGGCGGGTCTCCATGACGGATTTTCTCCAAGTGAAAAAAAAAAAAAAAAAAAAAAAGGTTAGGTTAGGTTGGGGCGTGGGTCGGGCAACCTCCAAGTATGGGCCTGCCATTGGGAGGCTTCCCCATCCTCGTGGATACGTCCGCGGGGAACGGTGGCCGAGCAATGGTTTGGTTCTGGTACGCCCCGGGCGGGATAGTAGTCGTTCCTTCGGGATATGGCTACTATGTCGGCCAGTAGTCCGGCGAGTAGGGGATGGGCGCTGCCTATGGCGTTCGTCCAATAAAAAAGTGGTGGTGTACAGCTTCGGCGTATAATTAAAATGAATTGTTGGGTAGGGAACGGGCGTCGTTTTCGGCGTTCGTTCATAGCTTAGGGTAGAGTAGGTGGTGGGTGTCATATTTGGCACTCGCCTAAAAATGTGTAAATATTGTAAATAGTTAGGTTTAGTTTAGGTTAGTTTTGTAAATGTGTAAATAGGTTTCTTCTTCTTTTTGGTTCTCTTCTCTTTTGGTTGTTTTATTTTGTTTTGTTTTGTCATTTGACTATTCTATTATACCTATCCCAATATTCTTCTATCCTTTTTAGTTTGCTTCGTTTTCGTCTTTCTTGTTTCTTCTTCTGCGGGACCTCACCCGGGTAAAAAAGGAAAACAGTAGAAATGGCAGACAGCAAAAAACATAATTTACCCCAGGAAGGTACCAGCCGCGCTGGAGAATCCTTCCCCACCGCACCGGATTCGCCGGGGGTGGGCCGTCCCGTGTATTCTGGGGGGGACAGCTTATGCCAGGAGTGGGGTGTTGAAGATGATGGGGATGTGGAAGCGCAGAGACGTGAGATGGTGGAGCGACTCCTGCAGGAGATGGAGGATCAAGCCATGGAAGGGCTGGAGTCGGATTTCACGGGATCTAGCCTCTCCCTGCACTCAGGGATCGAGAGCGATGTCACCGGAGCAGACGAGACACCTAAACCACAAAGAAGGGTGTCTCAAAGAAAGAGGAAGATTGTCGAGAAGACGCATCTCGACTCGGACGATGACGCGCCGCAAATTTTGGTTGTGGCACCTAAACCTGCGACGACAAAGAAGAAGGCACCCGCAAAGACGGGAACCGGACCCAAAAGTAAGGAAAAGGAGGCGGCGGAACCTGTCGCCGGACCCTCTCGGTCTCTGACGTGTGCTGGTGGAGAGTCCCACCCGAAGGAGCTACAGCATGCGGACAGACTCGGGGCCATAATTGAGGAGGGCATCTCGGCGATCCTGGAAGAGATCGCCAGATCCAAGAACCTAAAGGGGGGGGTCATTAAAAATATAAAGGACGCTGCCAAGACCATCCGGGCGGCGTCTGAGACCCTGGTCGAAAGATCGGCGACCGTGGAGTGCGCGGAACTCCGAAAGGAGAACACCCGCCTATCGCAAGAGCTGGCAAGTCAACGCCAGCTTCTCAATGCGATGCGTGACGAATGTGGGAAGATGCGCGCAGACATGATCCAACTGCAGCGCCAAGTGTACTCTTCCCCGGACACACAGGTGGGTCGCCTCCAAACAACGAACGAGGACTTGGAGCGGCAAGTGCAGCAATACTGCACAGAGAATGTCCGGCTGAAGCAGCAGGTGATGGCGGGAAACTGCGAGCTGCGGAAGCTGAAGAGAGAGGCAGAAAAGGCCGCGGCAGACAGAACGGCACAGGCGGAACCCTCACAGATAGAGACACCGGAGGAGACACCGGCCCCCACACCATCTGCGGGGCCATCACCGGCAGAGGATTCTGAGAGCCGGTTAATCAGACGAATCGGGGAGCTCTTTAACCCCCGGTTCGCTCTGCTGGAGGAGGGCCTGCTCCAGGTCCAAAGAGGGAAACCGCCACCCAAACAGGGTGCAGCGAAAAACGCTCCACGGCCGCCTGCAAATCGGGCCGCCGCTGCGTCGAAGAAGGGGTCGCTTAGTCAGCCAGCACCAGTTGTCCGGGCTGAAAATACAGAAGGAGCGCCGTCGCCGTCCAATAACAACAGAGAAGGATGGGCGACAGTAGTACGACGCGGCAAGAGGTCCCGGACGACGAATGCCCAGTCGGCACCCGCCACTCAGACTAACACCGCTGAGTCGGCAGCCGCATCACAGCAGCAAGCGGCGAAGAAGAAGGCTGCGGCAGAGCGTCGCAGAAGGAAGAGGCGGTTTAAACCGCCAAGCTCGTCGGCGATCGCCATCACGATCGACCCGGCGGCTGAAGAAGGAGGGTTGACCTATGAGTCGGTGCTGCGAGAGGCGAAGGATAAGATCTCCCTAGCCGACCTCGGCATCACCGACTTAAGGTTCAGACTGGGTGTGACTGGGTGTCGCATCCTGGAGGTGCCAGGCGCCGACACCGGCGACAAGGCGAATTCGCTGGCTGCGAGGCTGGCGGAGATCGTCCCAGGAGGAAGCGTCCGGGTCACTAGGCCGGAGAAATCCGCCGAACTACGGATTAGTGACCTGGACGACTCGGCAACCGCCGAAGACGTCGTCGCCGCAGTGGTGCGGCAGGGGGGGTGCGCTGAGTTGAGCGTGAAGGCGGGCGAAGTCCGGCGCACTCCCTCTGGTGTGGGCACAATCTGGGTGCGATGCCCAGTCGCTGCAGCCAAAGCCCTGACCGAGGCGGGAAGGGTGAAGGTGGGATGGACGATGGCTCGGGTGCAATCACTCGACCCGAGACCCATGCGGTGCTACCGGTGTTTGCTCACGGGACACGTGGGCCGACGGTGCACTGCGGGGGAAGACTGCAGCGATAAATGCTATCGCTGTGGTCAGGGTGGCCACAAGGCCGCGAGATGTGCCGAGCCATCGCCAAAGTGCTGGTACTGCGCTGCGGCTAACCGCAAGTCGGACCACAGAGTCGGCAGCACGAAAGCGTGCCGCTTGCCAAAGGCCAGAGCCGCAGCCGCGGCGCAGGTTACCGGCGGGGGGGGGGATTCGATGGACACCTGAGTCTGATCAGAGTGGGCATCGAATCCATACTTGACCCTAGGGTGGAGGATTGTTAGGGCAATCCGAAGCTCACCGGGGAGGCATTAGGGTCTGGGAGGTGGCGTGCAGAGACTGTTCCCTGCACGCCTAGATGGAAGGTCCCTTCGATGGGAACCATGCCGGTGGTCTTGGAGAATGCCTTGTGCGATCCCATGGCCACGGCGATTATGTCGAGGAGGAACAGTCGTCAGGTTTTTAGCAGGTAGGAGTCCGGCAGTATCCATTCTTCCCTAAGGGAATGGTTCTCCATGATGGATTTTCCTGACGTAAAAAAAAAAAAAAAAAAAAAAAAAAAAGGTTGGAGTCGCGTTCGAGCCGCCGTGGCGTGCGGACGTGCGCACGGTGGCTCCGGAGCGGTGCCGGGTCGCTCCGCGGCCGCTGCCGTCCGCTCCGCGGGCGCCCGGCGTCCGTCGGCGGGGCCCGGCGCCGCTCTGGCGGCTCCGGGAGTCGCGCTGCGAACACGTCGAGACTTGTTCTCCGTGTTTCGTACGCCATCGCGAGTGAGGTCACGGAAGTAGGTCAAGTGATGTGTCATTTGGCGGTCGTGTCTGTGACCCTGTCAGATGGCACACCGTGTGACTGAAAAAGTGACTTTGTGCGAAGTGACAGTGACACTATAGCAACAGCGGGCAGGCGGCCCCTGTTGCTATCGGAGTGGACCTTTCTGTGTGGACTGCGGGTGTGGCTTGCCCCCGCCTCCGCGCAGTAAACGGACTAGAGGTGAGTCGTATAGCAACAGCGAGGCGGTGCCCTGTTGCTATGCGAGACGGACTGTCGCGGCGCGGCCGGTGCCGCCTCGGTGGCGCCTCGGTGTCGCCGCGGGGCCGCTCTCGGTGCCCGCGGGGCCGCTCGGTGCCGCTCGGCGGGTCGGTGTGTCGCGGCGGACTGTGTGTGGTGGCGCCGGCGGGCGTGGCTCGTCCCCCGCCGGTGCGGGACCGCGGGACCCGGCGGAGCCGCGTGGGCACCGCCGGCGCGTCCCGCGGGACCGTTTTGGAGGACCGCGCGGCGCACCCGGTGTCGCTTCGATGCGTCGCTCGGTGTCGCGCCGCGCGGTACAATTGTGTGGACTGGCTTGCGGCGGGTGTGTCCTGGCCCCCGCCGCCGCCGACGGGACCGCGGAGACCCAGCGGAGCCGGGTGGGCGCCGCTGGTGTGTCCCGCGGGACTTGTTGTGGAGGGCCGCGCGGCGCAGCGCGGTTCTATGGAGAGGACTGGCATGCGGCGGGTGTGGCCTGCTCCCGCCGCCGCCGACAGGACTGTGGCCCCTGGCGGAGCCGCGTGGGCTCCGCATGTGTGTGGCGACACGGGACTGTGTGTGTGGAGTGCCGAACCCGGACTTGACTGTGTGGCGCTGGAGGAGGCGAGCACTTAGTGCCCTCTTTCCGGCGATGGGGACTTGTTCCCCTAGTGGCCCGCTCCTGCCTGGCGTCCGCAAGGACGATCGGCGGAGCGGTGTAGTGGCTCTTCGGAGCGCCGGGCTTTGCCCGATGAGAGTAGCTGCCCCCCCATTGCGGGGGCCGGGCGCGGTGATGGTGAATCCACCGCGTTCGTAGTAGAGTCGTACTACCCCGGGGAACGCCTCGCGACCCGGGGTATGTATGTTTGTGGGGTGCTTTGCACCCCGCGTGAGTGATGCCGTGGACCGTCTCCTGAGACGGTCAGCGGCCCAGACCACTGACGGCTGAATTGGTCGCTGTTGG